ACCTTTCACTCAAAGCCACAAATGTGAATCTCTTTGTCACGCTAAGGGAAAAGTCAGAGCATTGCCAACATTAGTAGGATTCAGCCTCTGGGTATCTTGAATGTCTATACTAAATTTACAGCTGTCCAATAGTTGTTGAGGTATTTTAGTCTGGACCTTGGTGGTGGAACAACTGACAGAGAGACTGAGAGGCATCGCCGTCCATAGAGCCATGATAATGTATTTTCTTTCCAGCTGCGTTTCATCATCGACATTCTGGGTGAACCTCCTGAGAAACTTCTGAATAAAGGGACTAAAACACAGCTGTTCTACCACAGACGTCACAAATACTGTTTATTCAGTCACTGGAAATTCAAGGTATAGTACCAAACCTTTGACATTATGGGCCAAACATGAAATATCCTTTATTAGATAATTTATTTTTTGTAAGAAAGAGTTAACTCTGATCAGCAGATACCTGAAGTGGATTTTGTATTATAGATGCCAGTGGAGTATTACACTGAAACAGGCATCAAGCCGGTGGAAACCAGGAGACACCGACTCTCATCTCTGGATGACCTGGAAACGGTACATGCTGTCTGCTGATGAGCCCACAAATTAGTCTCTTTTCTTGAGTTATTTTGGTTTAATGTTAATTTAACCAATTCTAATTTTAGATGAACCTGTACCAAGAAAACAGCACAGAAGCTGCTGGTCGGAGTGCTAGTGTTGAGCTGTTGAAGGAAATGCTTCAGATGAATCCACAGAAAAGGATAACACCGAGTAAAGTCCTGGCCCATCCATTCATAACAGGGAGCCACCACAGTCCAAGCAACAGTTCTGAGTAAGTGTGTCTGAATGAATGCTGTGCCCGAGTCTGTATATAAGATCTTCTTGGCACACAGGTTATGAGACAACGGTCAGCTTTATAGATAACTTTACTGGCTCATACAATGTGTAGTGTGTAGGTTTTTCCCTCAAGAGAGGCAAAAGTGAGTAAGAACTGGACTTACATTCATCAGATAGCATGAAACTTAAGTCCAATTGAATCATATTGCTCTGTACCAGCTGTTCGCCACTCACATGTTCAGCAAATCAACTTAAAGGTGATGATGATATTTCAGTGTTGTGGTCATGAATTGTTTGCGCTGCCCCCAGGTGGCCAAAAAAAGTGCTACTTTATACTTCTACTTCACTACAGTTCTGAGCGAAATATTATATGTTTTACTCCACTGCATGTATTTGGCAGGTATAGCTACTTGTTACTGAGCAAATTAGGATTTTACATATAAAGCATATGGCGAAACTTTAAAATATGATGCATCGTTATACACAAATTTATGTAAAATTGTTGAAACTTGCTCTTGTTCTTCCACCATTGTAAATAATATGATTGCAAAATACTCACAGGGTGCATTTTCCCGCTCGGACTAGGAGTACTTTTACTTTCTACACTTTAAGTACATTTTGCAGACACTACTATCTGTGCTGCTTTTATAGCAAGAAAAATAACCATTAAACATGATTTTTATTTAACTTGTGACCTGCCTTATTTTTATCATTACCAGAAGAAGAGAGAGGCTAGTAGTATTCTTATGCCACATTATGACTTTTGCAAGTTATCTCTGTTACCTCAGTTCAAGTAAGGTCACACTTTCAACTATTAACATTAGCCTCTTGAATGCAACAACAAGACAGTAGTCCTACAAGCACAAAACACATACACATGGTATAATATGTGAGAAACGGCAAGTACTGGTAACACTAACCAACTAACACACAAATAAATTTGCTACTGCAAGTAGTGAGGAATAGGCTCTTTCATATAGTCAAACCACAGATGGGCAGCACGTATAAAGACCTTGGCAGCTCCCTCTCAATCAGCTGTAATAGTATGAAATTCTTGTTATTTGCCAGTAAAATACAACACATTAGACATAAGTGACAAAAGTGAAGCTCATTCATCACGCTGCTCCCCCAAAACCTCTCAGTCATTCTGGTTTTGCTTCTGCCATGGGTCTGCGCCTACATCGCAAGATGATGTTGCCCAGAAACCTGTCTAATACTGCTTTAAATGAGTGTAGGTGTTATCAATAAAAGAAACAGCAGGTTGAAGACATGCCCAATAGATCCAGACCCTTGCCCTTAGAAAGATAATGTCAGTGCTTCTCTCTCTCATCTGTATGTGTGTGCGTGTGTGTGTTTGTGTAGTCCCCAGGCTGTGCAGAAAAAGATGACCAACAGTTTTAAGGCTAATGATAAAGACCTCAAATTGGAGTCCAGCAGTGACCATATCAAAACAAAGCCAGCATACCGTGACACTATCAGCACACCAGTGGTTCTTTCAAACAGCGCTGTTGAAGCTCCTGACTCCGCTTTGAACCAAGCCTACGGCAGCATAAATTCCTTTCACGCACCTGGTAGGAAATATTCACCTCAGCTTGAATTGTCATGTCGTTCCACTCTCCGTTGGCTAAAGCGCTGACTATACCTTTGATGTGCAGAGAGCAGTGAGCCTAAGACAAAGAAAAAGAAAAAAATCAAACGACTCTTCTCCACCTTGAAGAGGAAATTTTCCTCCTGTTGCTATATGTCTGAGGATGACGATAAGCGCAATATGTCCTGAATTTAAATGTTGGCGCTGGTCTCTGGTGCCACAGATCCATTACATGGGTATTACTGTAACTATCAAGCCTGTTTATTGTATTACATTTTCCAGTTGCAAATAGCAAATAAAACAAACTTCAGAGGAGTCATTTGTACATTATTTTGTTTTTGTTCAACCTGTACTGTGGTCGACCAACACAGGTGTTTTCTGCTATTTTGGCTGACTGAATCTCGAGCTAATTTTGGAAAAATGGGTGGTGCGTCTCAAACTGAATATACCCAAAATAATGCTAAGGTTCAAGTTATCCAGAGTTGTCTGTCTGCAGTGAAAAGAAGTCCAATTATCAATTAAAATTAGTGGATTTCAAAGGAATTCAATAGGCCTCTGTCATTCATCTTTCAGACAGTAGAGATACGATGATGGATGAGGTCTTTTTTTCCAACTTTGGCTATCCCAGTTTGTGGTGTACCTTAGGAAAAGTGGCCAAAAGCAAACAGATAACAACAGGCCTCTGGCAAGCCTCAGGCCAAACCTTAAATTTTTTCATCCTAGCAGTGTCAAGGATCTCAGCTGGTAAAGACCTGCTACCTGACTTGTGGCTGTAATCAAACAGAGCTGACTGCTGGCTAGAAAGTGCAGGCAAAAGCTGATGCTAGCAGGATACTGTAGAGGTCACACAATGACAGTGGTAAAAGAGGAAATAGTCAGATCATTTACTTAAGTAAAAGCAGAAATGGCCTGTGTAGAAATACAAGTCAACATAAAAAACATACAAACATACTGTTATGTTGAATAAACTATTTATAGTAGTGCCCCAGGACATTTCCCAAAAAGTGGTCCACTTTTGCGGAGCCCACCCTGTGAGGATGTCATGTTTTTCTTTGTCAAACATAGGCTAATGCAGGTCAGAAAAACATAAAACAAATGTATCACCTTGGTCTGTGGGAAATTATAACGGGCATTTTCACTACTTTCTTACAAAGCAATTGATCTATTAATCGCAATAATAAGCGGCATAATGGGAAATGGTTGTTAGTTGCAGCCCTAGATGAAATGCATTTGAGGGGGAATATTTTGTGCACTTTTGTACAGAAGCTCATTGCATTCACACAAAAAACGTGAGCTCATCTTGTAATTATTACTTTACTACTAACTATTTCACATTTACTAGATATAGGAAAACTACTGCGACAAAAATAGGGTCGCTTCAATACTTACCTGAGAATAATCGGGTTTTTAAGATTCCCTCAGTATCAAAGCATTTCACTCGTAGTTGTCAGGACATCCAATGGTATATAGCAAATAGGAACCGTTAATGGCTAATTCGGCGTTGTTAATTTCCCAACATGTAGACAAATGTAGACTAAAAAATGGGGCTCATGTAGCTTAACTCACTGTATCTATGGCAGCATTATACTCCATGTGTGTTAGAAAAGTTTAGATCTGTTCACACAAGTGAGGACTTTTACAGTTTAATTGTGAGCTCGTAGGTCATTGTGAGATAATGTCTCAATTTTTTTATGTGAATGCAATGCGCTTCCGTAGTTTTGTGTGGTTATTGACCGAAGCTCTTACTCTGAAGGATTCAGACAGGAAGTGTTGCTGCTGCTGCTGCTGATAGACAAACTGCTTGTGAACCGCAACAGTAACGTTGGTGGAAATAGGGGCATTGCAAGTCGCACAGTGGGTGAGAATTTACTGGAATTGACTACAAACAGGTGTACTGTAGCTCGTTAGAAATCAGCGTCGTTGTGATGCGGAGGGCTTGCTTCAGCTTGTGTTTGCATTAAAACAACTTGTCAGGTGCGGTGTCATCTACCGGTGCAGCTAACGGTAGCTATGTTTATATAGCTAGAAACGCTGGGTCATTGGTTCATAGCCTTTATGTCTATGTGGGGCTTTTAAATAGATAAGTTCATCGACAGCAGTAGTTACGTTATGTTTTAGTTCAGGTGGTTATTAGTTACACGAGCAGATAACAGCAAATACAAGAAAATAAACTGACCGCATCAAGAGAAGTGGCTCGTACAGGACTTGCTAACGAGACATAATTGTGTATTGTATTGAATTGGTCCATTTGAATGTTTGAAACTTGTTACATGTTTGCCAGCTTACCAGTCAAATAAGAAACTTGATAGGATATCTTTCCCCCGTGTTATCTGCCACTATGGTACAACTTCCTTGATATGCTTCTAACTGTGCAAATTCTTTTCATTCCGTGTTCTCTCAGATTTCTCGCTGATTAGGGAGGTCAGTGATACCATGTGGAAGTCACATGAACGACAAGGATGAGGCATAAACAACAAAGGCGCAGCTTGAGGAGACAGCCACTGCACAGTGTCTGCCACAGGGAGGGGGTTAGCTGCTTGTAAAGGCCTTGCACAGGCAGCCCCCCGTGTCCCCCCCCCCCTCCCCGTGCCCCCCCCCCCATTCCTGAACATATGCAATGAACAGCACTACTCAGCCCCCTCCCATTATTGATGGGGATGTGGCAGTCAGCTATGTGTTGGTGCCATTTTTCCTCATCACCATCATTGGAATAGCTGCAGCTGTGGTAAGTTGTTGGGTTGGATGGCATAGGACGACTTGCTGAAAAAGATTCAGTGGTAATAATACCATTAACTTATGGCAGAAATTTGTCACTGTGCCTACTTATACACAATTTATGTAAAACTGTTAATTTTATCTGTTTCAGGTCATGTATATCCGCAAGAAAAGGAGGTAACACTTTTAATCTATATTGATTTCATGGCACCGGCAATGTTTATTTGATAAATTTGATTGCTTCACTTCTGTGTGTCAGTGTGATTTATTAAATCACTGTTTGATTTCTTGAATTTTGTCCCTCAGAATTGACAGACTCCGTCATCAGCTGTTGCCAGTTTACACATATGATCCTTCAGAGGAACTTAATGAAGCCGAACAAGAAATGTTGTGGAGAGAAGAGGACACACGGGTATGATGCGCTATTGGTTTTCAAACTTTTTGTTATGTTCTCCGGGGAACATTCTTACCTGTGGGAAAGTTTGCTCGTATGAAATCAGATGGAGATGGCAAGATCATTATTTATGTATTTATTTTTTTTCTTCTAGGTCAAGTTAATATGAAAAAATTATATTTCCAGTTGTATGGGCTTGGGTTAAGCAGGCTAGATCTCACTCTAACTGAACATTTTCCACAAAGATGGAGTAAAGACATGTCTACTGATGCCTTGTGTTGTTACACTGTTGTTTTACTGTGTTTTTGACCTTGGTTGCATAATTCACTCTAACGGAACAGTAGTTCCCCAATTGGTCAGTCTCTTCCTCTTCCACATAAAAACATAGCTGTAAATAATAGTAGTAGTAGTAGTAGTAGATGAAAGGCTGCGCTACTGAATGTCTGTGCAAGCCTCAAGTCCCTCACAATCGCAGTGAGTGGCTAGTTTTAGGATCTCGTCACTGATCAGTTGTTTTCTCTGGATAATAGACACTTTTCTTTCCATGGTATTAGTACTCATGGTACTCTAGTTTAGAAATAGAAATAGATGGTTATGGCTAGATAAACACTGAAATTAAATTCTTGGCCTGGTTATTTCCAGTCAAAAATTATGCACTGAGCCATGAGAAACACTAGGTGGCAGTATTTACCATGGGCAAAGTTACACTTTTAAGTTTTACTCCACAGTTGAGAAAATGTTAAATAGGAAAAACAATGTCATCATGTAAAATTCTGTATTGGTTTAAGAGGCTATTATTAAAGGGTCAGTTTTTCCAAATCGCACCAATACTACTAGATGGTGAGAGCGTTTGGTTTTATCTACTGAGGCTTTGTGATATCTGGAGGAAGTGAATTAAATTTAGTTTGTGGTGCTTAAAAAAACTCTAAAGCAATCTCTGATATTAAGGATAATCCACAGAATACGCTGTCGGGACTTTTCACTTCATCGGGACTATTTCTTTGGTAGAAAGTAGTTCTAATAATAAAAACTGTTCATAGTGGGGTCTGTGGATTGATCTCCTCAATAAACAGGACATGGTCTCTGGAAAGAAGAGTTGCCTTAGAGTTTTTGTTTCTTTGTTTGTTTGAAAAATGAGAAATGAAGGTTGAGAGGCCGTGATGATGAATCACATCATGGTTTTACACCAGTGGGAATAAGTGCGGAAATATCTGTTTGAGTGATTTGGGTGAACTGACTGTTTATTATATTGCAACAGCTTCACACATTCTCATTGAAAACCATATTAGACTTGTGGTTTTAAAAATTATTGCACTAAACTAAACTGTGCACTTTGCATTTTGTGTCCTCAGATTGTTCAAGGTTGGGCCAGAAGTTATCAACAGCGTCGCCCTCTTCTGGCCAAAGACGTCAACGCATGATGGTTGTAAACCATGGGCATCGAACGCTGTCAGCGAGATCAGTCATTTATAGAGTCATGCACAAGTCTTTTACTGTTTTTCTTTACTATCGTTTGGCATCCATCAGCAACAGTCAGCATATTTCTTTTTATGTACAGGATGACTGTTCATTTGTGAGGTTCTGATGCCAATCCTGTGTGCCTAACAGACGCAGTACCTTTAAACTTATTTATTTGAAATTATTTATTCAGACTTTGTTTTACTGTGGTATGCGGTGACATAACTCAAAGTTAAGAAAGGTGGAACATATCTAAGGTTCAGGTTCCTGGAGGTGTACTTTGTTGTTTACATTTATGGTGTTGTGGGCGACGTGGCAAAGCAGTTATATTCCTGTGGGTTGCAGTAGGCATTTGTACTGACTATAATCTGGGGGTTGAGGTAAGAGTATAAATGTTCTGCACTAGTTGAAAATCATCACTCCTGCTGTGACGTGGTCTGTGATCAATGCCTGGACAGGTTGTTGTGTAGAGGTCGTTTCCATTACATTAAAAACAAATATGGCTTCTTTGATGAAATGACATTAGTGTTCAACACTAACACAGCAGTACCACTTCCAAAAAGAGTGTAACTTCAAAGCTTTATACTGATAAAGGTAGAATTGGCCGTTAAAATTAGGTTTGAGAAGAATTAGGTTGACATTTTCTGTTTCATTTTGAGTCAAAAGGTTGAACACACACACTTTGGTTTTAATTTTCTCACAGAGCTTCACTAGCTGCCCAACGATCTGGATCTTTTTGTGGTTTAGCCAAATCCTATGACTCTTGTCAAAGGCATGAAAAGCCAGATATGAAAGTAAATAACACCAACACCCTCTCACTCCCAAAATGAGTTGTGACTAGTGCTCAAAATATGTCCTGTCTACAAGGCATGGCACCAGCACACATTTACCTCCAGCAGAAGAATCTGCTCAGATGAATGCCATAGGTCTGACTGTATAAAGCACTCAGGAAACCTCACTTTTTTTTCTCCTTGATGAATTGTAACCTTTCCTGACCTTTATACGCTTGCATTTTGAATGTAAACTGAGAACAATAGAGCCGTTCAACTGTCCTCGCAGGGGAATAACCCTCCACTCAGTAATTAATGTATTGTAATGGACAGCTAATGCTCAAAACATGTGATGTTATCATCTAAGGTGCTTCAGAAGGAGAATGAGTTTATATGTAGGAGATGTTTTCTGTGGTCACTTCTGGACTTGAAAACATCTTTATCCCAGAACATGCTCCTCAGTCATTTTTACATCTGATAATTTTCTATGCATTTATCTAGACTGCTTTTTTCACGTTTAAAAAAAAAAGAAAAAAAAAAAAGAATGAAATGGGCCATTCACACTTTAAACTGTACAAATGTTTGATCATATGACATTCATTCTTCACACTGGTGAACTTTTCATGGAGGGCTCTGATTTCAGGTTGCACTTGAGAATTCAAAGAACCACTGATGGAAATTTTAATGGCTGCACTGTTATGAAGTTTTACTTTTCAGATTGTTGTACTATTGTTGCTTTGGGAGAATGGATAAGGCTGATTAAAATGTTGAAGATGTAAATAAAGTAATTTAACTTTGTCTTTGTACCGTAATTGTCATTCGCTTTAGCCAAGTCATCCTTGCTATATTACAATTCAACATCAACCTGCGTGTTTTCTTGAGCCTTTGGGCAGATAATTTTATGGATGTATGGATGCATGCCAGACAAAGTGACAAAGAAAATTCTCTTTATTGACCATTTCTGATACAAATTGTTGTAGGGCACCATAGAAATATAGACGTTGTACATTTATATACGGTGTACATTAAAAAGAATGATCCCATCCTATTGAGTTTACAGTATATAAATGAACGGATGCAAGATGTTGGTATGTAGAATGACACTGATATTGTCAAGAGTAATAGGAGGATGCTGAGAGAAAAAAAAAAAAAAAAAAAAAAAAAATTACATGAAATGACCATTGTATGACCATTGTATGAGTATGGCGAGGGCGGCTGTGTGTGGTAGTGCCAAACACACGGTGGCCAACAGAACAGTTAAGTGGAAAGAGCGCCCAGTCTATCACAAACACACAAACATTTGTCCATGAAAATCTGAACCAACATTTCAGTGCACCAGAAGATTTTTTTTTTATTATTATTTTTTTTATTTTTTTTTTTTTTTAAAAAGGATAAAAACACACCTGCTAATCTACCACAGTCAGCGAACACAGTTGTCAAGCTGACAGGTCTCCCTGACTTGCTTCACACATTTAAAACAACCTGTCTGCAAGCTCCGGTTATGAACGAGCCAAGACGTGTTGCGTATGCACACAATCACACACTTGACATTACAGTCAGGTTAAAAAAAAAAAATTAAAAAAAAAAATTAAAAAAAATTAAAAAAAAAAAATTACACAAACTTTGTAATAACGACATCTTTCCATCTCATGCCAGAGGTTACATTTAAAACAACAGAAAACCAGTTAAATGCAATTATATGGTAAAGTAAGCTGTTGAGTGAGGTATGAAATCCCAGGCCTTGTATTGCCTGTTTGCAGTTTTCCGGGTTTCGTAACTGAGGTTGTAGCAGCTTAGGTGTGTGGAAAAACCCAGTTAAGTGGACTGTGACCGCGGGTTCCCTGACACTTAGAAGTACACACAAACATCTTTTTTTTCCTGTAGCAGACGTCATAAAACACACATCTTCAAAAAGACTAAGAAAAAGTATATTACTGTACTAAGTGATGACAGAAGGACCAAGCCAGGTGAAGCAGTGAGAGCGAGATGGAATGGAAAAAAAAAAGAAAAAAAAAAAAGAAAAAAAAAGAAAGAAACAAAACAAAACGTACAGCCCTGTTGGATAGTAGTGCCAACTATCCTCTATTACAATCAAACTCCTTGTTTGACCAATTGCAGTTTGCCTTAACGAGTGATTGAGTGAGCGCTTAGAAACTGAGGACCATGTGAAGACGAAGACACCAATGTAACAGCATTTGTAAAAGCTCCCTGAAGAAATGACACTGATGCTCTCAGCCTAGAACTCTGCCAACCCTATCCTTAAAAACACACATTATACCAAAAAGATTTGAGTTTATTATAACATGAAAAGCAGCACACTCATGTTTTTTTTCATTGTTTTTTTTTTTTTAAAATGGTATGTAACCCGAAGGAACAAAACAGTAAGTCTGATCAGACTATTCTGATTACTAAGGATACACTTGACATCTCCCCACTACACGCTCAGGACTCAGAAGGAAGTTTGAGAAGCATAACTAAGTCTACTCTGTCCTACAGGAGGGGAGGGGGAAGCTGGTACAGATGACTCTGCTTTATTGGTGAGGCGAGGTGAAATCAGTTATGCAGATTAGACATAGGAAGGAAAAAAAAAACAAAAAAACAAACACTTCTACCATCAGTTACCTATTCTCATCCTATATGCTGAAGCTCAACTCCATCTAGAATACAATGCAAAAGGATAGGTTAACCACTTCACACAAACACACAAAATGACCCCCCCCCCCCCCCCCCCCCAAAAAAAAGGAAAAAAAAGGGAGGAAAAAAAAGCAAGTATAGGTAAAATTCACCTTTGTCCAGTACAAAACATGGAGAAAACTCTATATGCCCTACCATCTCAGATGCGGGTACAACAAATAAGTAACATTAAGCAGAGGAAATGTCCTACAAACCATCTTTAGGGGAAAAACGGAAACGTCCGGGCTCCTTGGAGCACACCTTTTGTCCAGTATAAAAGACTTGTGATTACATGACATGTAGAGAAAAGGGCTGTTACCTTTCATGTAATTCTTAGATCTATGCTTGAGCAAGGTCCATCGTTCTATCCAGTGCTGCTGCATGATATATGTACTGTGTTAACCCTCCTTCTGGCAAAGAGGGCTTTGTCGTGAACAGTGGTCATGTGGTGGCACTGGTGTTGGAGATACAGCCCAGTTCTGGTTAACAGTAAGTCAGTATGTTGAGTGAGGTAGCATGCGTTGTGAATTACTGGTCCTCTTCCTCCTCCTCCTCCTCCTCCTCCTCCGATGATTCCTGGGACGCCTTTTCTTCCTTCTCCTGCGACAGAAGAAAAACAGTGAGGCCTCAACTACAACCAAAAGAAAATGCTCAGGTGCCATCAATGTTCAGCAACTGTAGCTGCCTGTGATTCATGTCTCAACATGACCGTTTTTACTTTTAGTAACTCAATCCTACATGAAAACATTAAACGTTATTATAAATCTTTTTGATAAACCACTGTGGCATGAAGAACACCCAGGGGAAGGATGAGACATTGGTAGTGAAAAGTGATTCATAAGGAGTGGTGAGTCACGATGAGGCATCCTGCTTTTTGCTCTCTTGCCTTTCCTCCTCACACTCACTACTGCTGCCAAAGATGTTCATTCATAAAAATGAGAGGGCTAGTTAGGAGGGTAACTTTGGGTCATTCCTTTCTGTGACTAATGCAATCCAGACTTCTTTCAGAGTACGCCCTAACCACTCATGCACATGACAGAATGTTACTACAAGACCACAAGTTCCTCCGAGATTAAACGCATGCTTTTTGACCGGCTAGAATATGGTCTGGCAACTCATTTTGCACAGTTACAAAAAATGTAGGAAATATAATAATAAAAATGCCCACAACACTGGATTAAGAACAATCTTGGGGGAGGGAATTGTCATGCAGGTACAGATTTGCCTTTGAACACGACCAGGCAGAGACAGAGAGAAGAAGGCTGCTCTAAATGAACACACGAGAACCAAAATAGCTGTGATGAGTAAAAATGACTCGTCTGAGAGGAAGGAGGCAGGCAGGGGAAAATTAGGAAAATGCAATTTCGCCCTGCAGACAGTCATACCAATCATAATTCAATTGGGAGAGGAATGGTTTAACAAATGTGATCACTGTTTGTCCAAGGATTCTTATCTTACCTCCTTCTTAGGTCTTCCCCTGCGTTTTCCCCCTGCAGATGGGGGTGCTGTTGCCTTCTGTGAAAGAAAACAGTACAAACTTAATGGGGAGATGGGGTGGGGCCGACAATGCATTTTGCTGTGATGTTCATGCTCAGTGACCTGCTGATTTGCTCAGTTAAAGCCAAGACTTTTTGAGAGGAAAAAAAAAAAAAAAGAAAAAAAAAAAAGGGAAAACAGTGCAAAAACCTGTGGTATAAACAATCCATATAGAGCTCTTCCTCTAGCTGCCTGCAGATGGCAGTACTACCTCTGCAATGAGACAGATGGAAAGGGGGCATTGGGTTCATTGGCTATTATCTGGAAGGCCGACAGGAACTGCACACAGGGCACTCCAGTTCGCTGGCCACCTGGTCTGAGGCTCAGAGACAGCTGGTGGAACTGAGCAGAGACACAAACCCTCTACAGCTCAGCCCTCGCTGCTAAACCTATATCATACATGTATGCACGATCTACTCTCCCTCTCTCCTTCTCCCTTTCCCATACATAGCAGTGAAGACAGAGCGCACGGGGGAGCTGCAGGGTTGGGGCGAGGGAGAAAATCAGTTGTTGCTATGGAGACGACAGGCAGAGAAGAACTAGGGCTGTGTGCTGGGTGGGGGCGGAGGGGTGCTTAGTGTCAGCTTGGAAACAGTCTTGCGGCCTCTGCACCTGCACCGCACTGTGCATGACAAGCTGCAGGAAGCTGGAGGACAGGAAGTACAGACTGAGCATCACTCAAAAAAAAAAAAAAAGTAAGGCAGTAAACCAAAGCCTTTACAATGGGAAACCCTAGCCAGGCTATTTCTGACACCAGGAGGGGAAGCAGCTCCATTGCAGCCAACCAATATATCATAAGTAACAGCAGGACATCCTTTTAAGAGGATGAGGTTAGCTACCGTTAAAATGTTCATCAGCCAAAGAGAATCTGGGGTTAGACAAAAGGAAGCGCTCGCAAAAGATGGGACTAGGAATCCATGTGCAGTGTCACTGTGAAGCTGTTTCAGTCTTTCTTGGCACTGCCATCATCCGGTTCAGGATGCATGTTAGCTTCTGCTGAAATCATGATTTGTCAGCATGCGAAAACATGCCTGCAGACAGCATTGACTTACTTTGCCCTTGCCGGTTGTCTTGTTTTTGCTGCCCTTCGGCCGTCCTCTGGGCCTCTTTGGAGTAGGGGACCCACTTGGTTCCTGACAATCAAGACAGTCAAAATAAAAGTTAGCATACCACAGTAATATCTAATATTTTTAGTATTTCCACTTAATTTGAAAATAATATGGGCATGGATGCACATGCAAGACTCCAATGGACATGAAGCTCACTTCTCAAGCTCAGTACAACTGAACTGACATGTACTTTAAAGAGCTGACAGTAGGTTGGAGCCACAGGTTGCTATGGTCTGACATAGAAACAAACTGAAACTACATGAAATGTCCATAAGGACAAATATAAACATCTCATAAGAAGTACTGACTGAAACATATCAAGCAGTCACACCACGGTGTAAAAAGGGGAATATCTGAGTCAAAATTTAGGGGATTACCACCAACTCAAAAATACAAGGTGAATTCAGTATGAGAGGATACATCCCATTCATATGCTAATTTGTGGTTGTAAGCTGTGTCATGGCAGCATCATCTCCCATTGCATTTCTAGCACGTTTACAACTGCAGCTCATAGCAACCAAGCAATTCAATACTAAAAGCACACCGCGCTGAGTGATAGCTATATGAGCCAGTCTGTGCTCAGACGTCATCCATTACATGTCAAGCAGAGGTGTGTTGTGAAGGAGTGGAGGGTTAAAACCCGTTTAAAGGCATTGGGTTACAGGTTGCTTACAAACCAGGTGAGAGACACAGGAAGTTTGTTGTAGCCGTCTACACTTACACCGATAAGGGGTGAGCAAACGGTCACAAGGCCTTGTTGCAGGCATATCTTGATTCTTGATTTCACTCAGGGCTTGGTAGACTAGCAAGGGGCTTATGACATGGATATGCATGAGCACCTGAGCTGCAATAATATCTACCTGAGCATCAGCTGGAACAGATGTGGGCAACCAGTGTGTGTTGTCTGTCTGGTTTTACACCTCAGTCCCCCCCTTCCTTTCAGCATAGGACTATTCTTAGTGTGTTTGAGGTGATATTCTCATACAGACATGCAAACCTGATTGGCACATTTTGACAAGGAATAAAATTGGCACTACTTACTTCAGAGGTTTTTACCTGGGGCTGCTTGCGGGGTCTTCCACGCCCCCTCTTCTCTGTTGCCTCCTTCTCTTTTGGTGAGACTGTCCCCTTGTCGCTCATGTTTGCTTAGCTTTTCAGACCTACAAAAAATAAATCACACCGGTCAGGTTTGCTGCAAGGCAAGGCGTCGAGTTCAATCACACACACAGGACACAGAAAAATATTCGGGCTTTTAAACTCGCTGACCGCAACAACAAACCAAAAATGACCGGGCTAACCGCACACCGGTAACGCGTTTAACTCAATTAATCCGCGCTTATTTTCAGGTCTATTTCTGTCTCATCTGCGCTCCATTACACAGCCAACGGTGCCACACAATTAAGGGATTGACACCAAACCGGTTCGCGTGATATTGCTGGGACTCGGTAAGCGGTGGAGGCCGCACAAATCTACAAAACACTACTGAACCCGACGCTCCCTTCCCGTACCAACCATGTTTAGAGGCCCCGTTTGCTGTACTTGTTGTGGCCAGTAATCGGGCCTGCGCATGAAACTATCTCACAGCATGTCTGCACGCCGGGGCCATGGAGAGATATCTACCGACACACACATATACACACACATACACACAATGGCTGGTGTGTGCTCGGTGGGATTTGCAGGCTAAAACCCTCGTCTGCACTGACGCTTGCGTTTTTTATTTCTCTTCTTTTTTTTTAAAGGAGGAAGAAAATGCAAGCGAGAGAGGTGGTTGGGTTCATTTGCGGCGGCGAAAGCCCGGGCCAAGGCAACAAAAGACGGCTTCACATTTAAAGCATGCAGCCTCCTCTCAGCCGGAGCTCCAGCTCTGTAAAATGCATTAAAAATCGCTTCTGGGTTATCGAGCATGCAAAGTTTCCCTCGCTCACCGTCGCGTTTCTTGCACTCACCTTTATCGCTCGATTATAACCTCTGTTTCCTTTAAGGCTGGCTGGTTGTACCCGGTTAAAAGCCTTGCACCGATCTATAGGCTACAGCTTTTATTCGTCAGACAACACACAGCCCGCCCCTTTAAAATCCCAGCTCATGCAGCGACAAAAAACCCCAGTTATGAATTAAAAAAGGAAGAGGACAGACTTTTAAAAGAAAAAACAATATTAAAATTTTTTTTTACCGGCAGGTTGAGAAGTTTATTCCAACGACGTCCTATAAATAGCACGTGTGTCTTCTCCCGTGCCGATAAAGTGAAAAAGGCGCCAGCCAGGAGGAGTTTTGGGGCAATTTAAAGAGCCGCCCTCATGGGAGCAGAACACTGGAGGGCGGAGATATGATAAATGGGCCACCAACAGTACTAGAGGAGCCCAACCCCCCCCCCCCTTCTCCTGGATCCTTTTTATTGTCCAGGTTTGATCCCAAAACACCAAACAGCATGTCTACAAGTTACAGAATACACATTCAGCAAATTAATAACAGTATTAATTGTGTCTCATATTGTATACATTTTCTCCACAGTATATATCACAGTATCCACAGTGATGGTGAGTAAACTATGACCTCCCCCAATGTAAACACAAGAAAACTTTAAGCCAAGGAAGGTGTTTCTTGTTGCTTTCCTCCTAAAATCTTCTACAGTGGTGGAGGAGATGTTTGGATCCTTTACTCGAGTAAAAGTAGTGATGCCATAATGTAAAAATGCTTCATTGAAAAATGGATTTAAAATGTAAAAGTATGTAAATCAGCAAAATGTACTTAAGTACAGTATGTCAAAGCTGTACTTGAGTAGATGTCTTTAGTTACACCCCTGCATTGGTCATCCATGCTGAAACAATTTCTTCATCTAGCAGAAGTGCTTTACTGATATTTTACTTAGACTATTTTAGAATATACCGTATTATACTATATACTGTATATATATATTTAAATGAAACTGCTATCTAGAAAGTATTTAAGCATTTATAGGTTATAAACTATGCTCATCTAACTTTCTGCAGTTAGTTAAATCAGGTCTCTCTCTGCAAATGTAAATGATTACTGCAGACTCTCTCTGGACTTTCTGCTGGTGGTATGTTTTAGGATATTTTAAAACACAACTTTTTTTTTTTTTGTCGTGTAAGCAATGTTCACTAGCAACCATATCAAGTTATAACCAAATCAACCAAAAGGGATTATTTTAGTAATTCCTCAAAACCTAAAGAGGAACTATTTACTGCTTAAAAAAAAAGCAAAGATGGGTGAAATAACGGAAAAATATTATCTTTGATAGCAAATGTCTATTTTTCTGCTTTCCTGTCCTTTCAATTGTCTCATGACCCTTTATATTTATCTTGTGACCCCTTAGTGGGGTACCAACCTCCAGTTTCTAACAGTGTTTTTAGAGTCTTGTTCTGATAGTGTGATTTAGTTACTAGTTTAGATCGGTCTTTATTTATTCATTGAAATAGTTTCAGACGGCTCTTGTGTTGTAAGGTGCTATGTAGGATTACATTTTTATCCGATTGCTTTAGAAATTTTATTTATGATTTTATAATCACAACTCTGTCTCATTCTGACCTATTCGGAATATTATGTTGTTTCACTGTTAATGCTGCCCACCTCGGTAAGGACACTGAAAAAAAAAAAGTTTTAAAAATCTTAACAATTACTGACTTCAGAGAGGAAAACATTTTGTATTTAACTTTCAATACTCTGGGTGGTTAAGTTGAGAGGGCAGAGTTCAAATAGTTTCAGGAGAAAAAAACTTCAAATAAAAAGCACTAAAGCAAGTGTAGTTTACTCATCTGCTCTTTGCTAATTGCTCACTTGAAGTGCTGCGCAAATTGTTTAATCCCTGGTGCTTCTGGAGAGCAGGCAATAACACAACACACACAACATGTAGTCTGTATTGGATGTGATTTCAGCTCCAGTGATACACATTATTTCAGTGAAAGTTAATTCAGATGCACAATGAAACCCCTCCATTACCCTATTGTAACATTATATGTAAGTATAAAGGTGTATTACCCTCAAGTATGAGGGTAATACGCCACAGGACATAATCTAATCCTAATTGTAGCTCTGGGTCAATTATCAAGTACCAAAACTAACTTGTCTACTATTGCTGCCTCTTTCATTCATATAGAGGTAGGTAGACGCCCCATGCTGTCCCCATCAAGCACCGGTGTGACCATATTTGTATTTTAAATAGATACATAGGTGTGGTGGATACAGAGGAGACAAGGCGAGGCGGTACAGAAACACTCCACAAACGACACTCTAATCAAATCATAAACTGGTACTTTCACACTGGGGTTTCTGATGTAAATGAACTACCCATCTGGAGCTGATGGCTCCTCTACTATGCAATTGAAAACAGATACTGAGAATGTAGAGTGACCTGAAAGTAGTCGAAACATGCAGTGTCCTGTCATCTGTGTGTATCTCACCTCTCCATCTGTTTATTCAGGGCTGATCTCAAATGACTTGATGCACACAAACACATTGAATTACTTTATTATCCTAAAACCTTTGTCATCTGCGGGACAGCGCACAGATATCAATGTACTGTACGTACATGATGAGAAGAGTGGGACTCTGGTGAAAAGGGGATTGGATAGGGCATGAATGGAAAGAGCGCTTTTCTCAATGAGTCCAATGTTCTGCTCAGCATGTGCTTGCCTTGCATGCCACCCCCTTCCCTCCCCATTTCTCACTCTATTCACTTCCTTCCTCTCTATCTTCCACAACTACTTCAGCCCCATCCCCCACACCCTCACACATCTCTGCCATACCCAGCCCCTCAGTATGTGGATGAAGACAGGGGAATAGGTCCACTGTGTGTGTTTGTGTGAGGAATGTTGTCCTCCACCACTGGCACCACCTGGAGACCGATGAGGGGACTGGATAATGTGACCGATCAGTGATGATGCAAAACAAATGTTAGCATTCTGCATTTAGCTTGGAAGCAAAACAGTCGCTCACAAATATTGTATAATTACTGTAGATACTACAAACTGACAACACACCAGACTGATGTTTTATCTTGTCTTATACGCTCATTTGCCAGTTTATTAGGTACACCTAGCTGAAACTAATGAAGACTAATATGACAAGTCCTGCAATAAATATTACCATCATGACAGAATGTTCAGCCTTTATTTTAACTCTTTTAGAGTGGTGTTGATTGAACTGCTGATCATTTTGGAGGTTGCAGTTGTGGTGCTGTTGAACTGCATTGCATTATAAAGAGAGGGGTTTCTGTTATTTAGTCTACCCTTGTTGGTAGATGAGGGAAAAAGTGGTGGACAACATAATAGAAACACATCAGTATAAAGCAATACAGTTCGACAGCACCACAAACGACATCCTCCAATATTATACAGCTGAATTAACACCTCTCTAAAACAGTTGCAACAGAAACTGAACATCAGAACTATCATCAAAGTAGGATTTATTGCAGGATTACATTAGTTTCGCTTGGTGTTTCTATTAAAGTGGCAATTTAGGGTAAATCGAGAGGACAGTCTTTAAATTTGAGAACGTGATTTTGAAAATTCATTCAAATTTTTTAAATGTCTCCCGGAGCAGTTCTTATTTAATATTTCATTTGCTTACTTTCGATGATCCCAACAAGCACAAAATGCTGCAGGGAACTGAACATCATCACTATAGAGATAAAGGTTATAGTCATTTCAGCAATTGGAGAAGGCTACAAACCACTTTAGTCCATTTCATTTTCAAAGACAGATTAATTTCAAAGGATGGAATTGAATTTCCTTGAGTAACAAAATAGGCATCTTATCAAGAAGTGTGTAAATCCTGGTAAAATGCAGTCAGTTTTTGTATGAAATTCCCTTCTAAAGAAATACTCCAACTGTTTTTACATTCAGTATGATCACTATTGAGCTCTTGGATTTTGAAGGATGAAAATTTATCAAAATTTACATCAGTTTGTAGGTTTGTAAATTTGCAGATGAAACTGATGGTGAATAAAAAGACTTAACACAGACTTAAATAGATACATTTTTGCTGTATTGGAATGATCAGATCTTCACCTGTGGCACAAAAAAAAAAACATGAAAAAGGCGGTGAACTGAATTTAAATGCTAATCAATTCTTACAAGAGACAAACACTTCCACATCAGACGTCCTCTTCAGAGCCGTCTCCTGGCTCATGAACTCTGCAGCAGCTCAGGGCAGACAGAATCCTATTAACTATGGGGGGGTGGGGGGGTGGGGGGGGTCTTGGCCCACTTTGTCATGCTCCCCCCTCCCCCACCTATGTCCTCCTGCCCTTTTTTTCCCCTCCTCCTATATGCTCATCCGTCTTCGCCTCCAGCACGCTCTCTTGCTCATTCTAGCAATCCATTTTTAGGCGCTGTGTAAACCGCAAGAGTGCTGCAGCCAAACCAACTAACAGATGTGGACAAAACATCCTATTCCTGCCTGTGCCTGGGTTTCCCCCTGCTTGTGCTGCTGGCCCAGGATGAGCCTGAACATGACTAACACACACATACGCACACGCCACTCACATCCTCCCTCTCGTCCTCCAAAGAGGAGATGAGGAGAAAAAAAAAGGAGGGGGGGTAGTAGGAGAGGGGGACAGGGAGAGAAAATCCGTAGGGAGGGGAGAGGAAAAGTGTAGGAGCGGTTGAAAGGCAAGGTGGGCGGAGATGGGAATATGTGTGTGGGTGTGTTTTATACTTCTGCGAGGGGGCGGATGGAGGTTAGTGGGCGGGGGATGGGGCCCGGCTGATTCAGTCTGCTCATGAGTAGTATCTGACTCACACAAACACAGGAAGTAGCGCGTGCTGCTTGTTTAGTGAACACAGAACTGTATTTATGTGATTCTCCTATATGCAGGGAATAATAGGAGTTCATACACTACCTAATTTCACCTCCGTATGTTGGTCACTGAGTCAACACTCCACTCTCCTTTTCAAATAGTTCCATATCCACATCCTGAGATTTTTGGACAGAGATCCAGCGGGTGCATCAGTCATACTGTGACTCAAGCCTGTGAAATTTCTAAGGGTGAAAACAGTGCCATATTTGAAACTTCCTTTGGCAACAACAGCCTCAACACGCTATTAGGTCTCTCTTTTTATGTTTTATTTTTATTTTTTATTTCTTGTTCTGTGAGTATGAATCTCCATTCAAGTTTTGAAAATATTTTCTAATCAACGTTTTCTTATGATTCATTCAATCATTTCAATCACATCAAGTCCACTCAGCTATGGTATATAATTACTAAGAATCATGCG